TGGAAGAGTAATTGTGATTTTACTCATCTTACATTTATTTTAGATAATTTTAGAAGGTGGGAAGGGAGACCTATTTCTTTGCCTTAAATAAATATCTTCAGCTGCTTTTTTTTCTAGCCCCAAACCTCACTTTTTTAGCTTATGAGCTCACACTGTTCTTGCACTTGAGTTTTGAACTGTTTTCTGTTGCCCCCAGTTGGCTGAAACCTGACATGGGAAAAAAGGCCAAGCACAAGACACAGATTAAGAAGAAGACGTTGAATCCTGAGTTTAATGAGGTAAAGACAGATGTGATTTTTTTTTTTATATTATTAAATCAACTTAGCTAATTACTATGTTGTGCAGAGGAAGTAGAAAACAAGCTTACCGAGGTTTTGTTCCTCGCTTGGGCTCCTTTCCCCCTTCTGCACCCGGGAGTATTTTAGGAAGGACTTTGCCACTGGAGATCTCACCAGTTCAGTGCTGGGCAGCACCGGTACACTGAAACCTCCCTGCTGCCAGCGCTGCCGATTCTGTGTCACCCTGGCTGGGGGTGTGGGTGGGACAAGCATCCCTGGGGATCCTGTGGCTGGTGCTGCTTTGATGGGACACCTGCAAAGTGCTCACTTAGATATGCAGGGTGAGCTCAGCTTCTGGGTTTGTGCGGCATGTTGTGATCTTGGGAGGAGAGATGCCACAGGGAAGGAACATTTGCTCTTCATTAGTGTATTCTAAATACTCTCTCACTGGATTTTGAATTCAGTCTGTACAGAGAGATCACTTGCAATTCCTTTAACTGCAGTTTTCTGGGTCTGTTTTCCTGGGATGCTTGGGGTGACGTGGCTGTTCTCCTTCCCTTCTGCAGGAGTTCTTCTATGATATAAAACACAGCGATCTGGCCAAGAAGTCACTGGACATTTCTGTCTGGGATTACGACATTGGAAAATCAAATGATTACATTGGTGAGCTGCAAGTCTCTGTGCTCTGGGGTGCAGTTTTGAAGCCTGATATACTGCTCGCTGTACAGGAGGGATGCATAGGTCATCTGAGGGCTGAGCTTTGAGGTGGGACCATGCAGGTTGGTTGGGCACTTGTATCAGGCCATCAGATACAACACATAGGATCATAGGATCATTTAGGTTGGAAAAGACCTTCAAGATCATCAAGTCCAACCATCATCCATGCCCACTAAACCATGTTCTGGAGTGCCTCGTCTATGTGCTTTTTGAATATCTCCAGGGATGGTCACTCCACCACTTCCCTGGGCAGCCTATTCCAATGTCTGACAACCCTCTCAGTAATGAAATTTTTCCTAATATCCAACCTAAACCTCCCTTGCCGCAATTTGAGGACATTTCCTCTCGTCTTATCTCCAGCCACCTGACAGAAGAGGCCAGCACCCACCTCACTACAACCCCCTTTCAGGTAGTTGTAGAGAGCGATAAGGTCTCTCCCCTCAGCCTCCTTTTCTCCAGACTAATCAGTCCCAGTTCCCTCAGCCGCTCCTCATAAGACTTGTGCTGCAGGCCCCTCACCAACTTGGTGCCCTTCTCTGGACACGCTCCAGCACCTCAATGTCCAATGTACTGCCCCATCTCCAGCATCCCACGGGGTCTTCTGCGCAGGCAGAGCATCTCTAGTTGTTTCCATGAGATTTGAAATCCAGAAGGTGGAACGAAATGCTGCAAACATGGGCTCCGTCCCCATGGAAGTGATTTACTGGAACATCAGCATCATCTCTGAATATGATGTCTTTTCTCCTTCCTTTCTTCCAGGAGGCTGTCAGCTTGGCATTACGGCTAAGGGGGAGCGCTTGAAACACTGGTATGAGTGTTTGAAGAACAAGGACAAGAAGATTGAACGCTGGCACACCCTCCAAAATGAGAATCATGTTGCCAGTGATTAAAGGGAGCCGCTGCCCAAACTTCCCCAAATGGCCCATCCTCTGCCAAGCCCCCTGTAGATCTCTGATGTCCGTCTTCCAGCACAGTCATGCCTTGCTACACGCCTCTGGTCCCAGGGCAACAACACTCTTCTGCCTCCTCCAAGCATCCTCTGTGCCCTGTCCTCAGTTCCACCTGAAAACTAACCCAGATCTTTTATATTCCCTCCTTTTTTTTTTTTTCTTTTTTTTTTTGGGGGTGGGTGGTGGTGGTGCAGGGTGTGTCATTGAGGTATCCTGGTGTGTAATTTTGTCAAGCAATAGTTACCCTCTGACTGTTCCTCTTTCTCACTAGTCTCACGCACGCCGTGATTGCGTTCCTGTTGTGTGTGTGATGCTCTGTGTTCCTCCAACCTCCGCTCGCGTGCCTCGTCCCATCGCCACCAGCTCGTGGCTCCATTATCTCTCAGTGGGATGTGTGGCCACCAGGCCAGCCGTGCTCTCCTCCGGTGTGGTGGTGGGGGGCTGAGTGCTGGTGTCGGAGCATCGGCCTGTTCCGCTTGTGTGATATTGATACCTCAGTTGCAATAATGAAAAAGCTGTTTGGCTTTGGTGTGGGTCGTAACTGTAGCCTGGTATTTGTGTTGTGATTAGGCTAAAGCCTGTGTCACTGATGTAATCCTGCGAGTCCTGCTTGAGCTTTAGTTCTGATTTGGTACACTTGAGTAATATTGTGGTACATCCTTTGCTGAGAAGATCCACCAGTAAAACAGTAACAATAACCAGAAATAAGGAGCCACTCTGTGCTCACAGGGAAACAGAGATTTGGGTTGGTTTGTGTTTGTTTCCAGCCTCCGCGTGCGGTTTCTTTTACCTGAGGAACTCACATGCTCCGTTGCTGTAGGAGCACACCCGTGTTTCAAGCTTGTGACTACCTCCTCTTCCCGTCCTACCTGTGTAGTAGTGACTAGCTGAACCCCAAGGGCAGTCCCTGGGCCTTCCTCAGACTATCCTTTCTGTTGCCAACTGTTTGCCGTGCCACATGCAGGAGGGAAGCTGTGGGAGAAGATACTTCCCACCAACTAGCTGATGTGTGCAAGGATTATTGCTTTAAAATACCACAAATACTGAGATTAGCTGGAACAGTTAGAGGTCTTCCAAACTTTGGGTTTGGTGGCTTTTTTGGTGTTTGTGGGTTTTTTTTTTTTTTGTTGGGTGTTTTTTTGGTTTTTTTTTTTTTTTTTTTTTTGAATCTGCACAAGAACCACTGTTTTCAACCTGAGCTTTAATGATTGTCTGGAGGTGTTTGATTTGTCCTCAATAGCAGGAGAGTCAAGATGCTCTCAGACTGATGCTGATCGGGTTTGGTCCCGTTTTCTGTCTCTGGACAACCTCAAGCATAGCAATGTCGATAGCAGCACACTAAGCACTACTGGAATATATTATCAGTCAGCTACACACTGCGCATGTTGTATGAAACCTGAACCCCAGCCCCTTTGGTTCACGCTGTCGTCCCATGACTTCCCTTGCAACCCACTGCCGTAGTCTGCTGGCGTGCTGTCTTGTGGCGTGTTCTCAATTCAGCTGTACCGCAGAGCTGTTTCTTTTGAATTGGATGAGTTATTTTCCTGTTCTTGATTATTTATTTATTTATTTATTTCCCCAACCTTCCCCCAGCAGAATTTGCTCTGAGTGCTGACTTGCAACGAGCATCTCTGCAGGGCTGTGACTTCTGCAGCTGGTGGGGGCTGTGTGATGCTAACCTCTGTGCATGCCGAGCGATGCTGCTGGTGTGGAGCAGACCTTCCCCAGCTCAGGGCTTGCATGTTGAAAGAGGTCTGCTTCCCCCCCCCCCACCCCAGCCCTGGCTGGGTGCTGCCAGCTCCTTGTAGCCAGTTCTCCACCAGGAGACACCCTTGGACCACAGATGGGGAAAGCAAACCTAAACCAGCATGGGCATCCTCTGTGCCGTTCAGCCAGAGCTGGGGTAGGTCTTCCATCACCCCAGCCTCTGTCCAGTGGCATGGCCACTGAGATGGGAGCTGCTCGGGGCATGATGCACAGAAGAGTGCAATGGGAGAGAGGGCACTCTGAAAATGGCTTTCCTCTCCCTTCCATGAAGTTCTTGACTCTGCACCAGTAAGTGCAACGTCCTGGAGGCCCTGAGCCATGCTGCCCTCGGTGCAGGCTGTACAGAAGACCTAGATTGAAGCGACCTGGTTCTTTTGGATTGTTTCCCTCTGTGTCCCATGCTGCCCTGTGCAACCATGACTGAAAACTTGCTGCTCGGGGCAGAGGTGGTTCGGCTCTAGGATGCTGCCGTCATCCCTTCCGGAGTGATGGACCTGCCCAAAACCTTTGCACGGCCCTTGCCTATACCTCTCAGAGCAGTAGATGGGCACAGTGTACTTCTGAGCTGTGCTGGGGAAGTATGTGTCTGGGTATGAAATTACGTTAAAGAGAAAAAAAAAAAAAATCTGAGCAATTCCTTAATTTATTCCAGACCTGTAGCAGTCCAGCCTCCTTTGTGTGTGCAGAACAATTAAATTACAGTTGCCTTTACCCATGTCCTCTATTGACATTCTCTGCTCAGCCTGCTTTCCCTTCAGACAAATGATACTCAAATAATCTCTTTGCACCCATAAAAATAAAGTGCTACTTGCCTATCTCCCTTTTGCTATTGTGCAAACCACAGTCCTGTCTCTGTTTGCCACCCTCTTCTCAGTTTTTCTGATGGTAATTTCTGCCCTGAATGACTTCTTTTTGTTGTAAATAAAGCATGCACATATGGATTGGGAATGGTGGAAAAAAAAAAAAAAAGCCTCTTCTACTGCTGTTTGCATTCAAACTTGCATGCAGTGATTTTACAGCAAAATATCAGTTTACAACTATTAAGAGAAAAAGAAAATGTTACACAGGAACTAGAAATACTCCAGTCTTCCGCTGCATGCAGCACAACATCCTCTCTTGATGTGGTATCTAATAAAGTGAGACTATTGGAAAAGAAAAAAAACCAACAAAACAAAACATGATGGTTTTTGGCTTCTTTCATTCCCTGTGGGAATATGAACCCTGGTGTGGGCAGTTGTCCTGGTTGTGGGAATTTGTGGTGGCTTGGGGGTGCTGGAAGATTATGCTGGGTGCAAGGTGTTGAGGAATTTGGGATGGTAGCCTGCAGCCCCTTCCCTGTGGGGAGAGGTCCCAGCTCTGCAGAGCTTGGCTTGGCTCTTGTGCACCTCTGGGGGTAATGGGGATGACATGAGTATTGGGGAACAGTCTGGGTTAAAATCCTTCATGCACAGGCAAGACATCCATGGGGTTCCCCTCACTTCATGCCTTGCCGAGTGCAAACACAATGGGCGCACGCCGCTGGGGAAGACTGTAGCACATGCGGAGGTGGTTGCTGCTTTGCTCTGGTGCTTCTGTGTATCCCCTTGAAAAGCAAACCCAGCCCATGAGAAATGACCCTCCTGGTGCCCTTCTTCATGCCCCAGCCCTTTTCCCCAGGTTGGGGGAGAAGGAGCCATTCCCCCCTGTAGCTGCAGCTCCTTGTTGCACTGCTGCGGGAAAACACCACCTCCAGCTGCTGCATCACCCAAGCCAAATTATTCTCCTTTTTTTTTTTTTTAAAATTTTGGCATTTTTAGGCTCAATTTCCAGCATACCATCAAGTGCAGGCCCCAGGGAAGGGCACGCTGGGATGGGGGGAGCCCCTGGGATGGCAGCGGGTGGTGGGTCTGTGGGAGCTGTGCCCCAGCCCTGGGCAGAGGGACACGGGTTGTGGGGTGGCCTCGCCTCTCCGCCCCCCCCCCGCGTGTACCCAGAAAGGGCCCGTGGGGACGGAGCTGAGCCGTGGAGCCGATGGAGCCGGTCCAGCGCCGATGCCCAGAGACAGCAGCAGATGTCAGTGATGCTCCAAGTATGGCACGGGAAGGACGGGCAGGAGGTGCCAGAAGGCTGCCCACCAGCAGGCCTGGTGTCCCCTCAGCACCCTCCGTCCTGGGGGTGGGATCCCCTCAGTATCACCCATCCTGGTGGTGGGATCCCCTCAGTGTCACCCATCCTGGTGGTGGGATCCCCTCAGTATCACCCATCTTGGTGGTGGGACACCTCACCACTTCAGCAGCACCCATTGTGGTGGTGGCCCCCCCAAAATGTAGTTTTCGTGCAAGCTGTTGCTGAGCCTCGATAGATGATGGCCTTGGGGGGGGTGTGTGTGAAGCTGCCCCATCCCCATGGCTGCTCCCACGCACCACAGGTTTAACCCATGGTTTCCCTCAGGCCAGACCAGTGGCAGTTCTTCAAGAGAGGGCAGTTAAAGCCTCCTGAGGTGTCTCCGCTGATGAGATGCCATCACAGTACCTTGCAGTTGGCTTGGGAATAATTGCCCAGGAGAGACCAGGGACTACCTTCCCCAGAACCACTCACTGGTGGTCAGCTGGACTCATCTTGGAGCAAAAAGGTCAAAATGGCAAGTTAGATACCGCTTTGTTGTCATCAGGGAGTTTGTGTAAGAGCCAGCAGCAATGACTGGTATTGAAAATCTCCAAGATATTTGAAACCGTCATGTAGTGCTGTCTGTATGTACTGCTCTTAATGAGGACCCTGAGCCGTCCCACCAGTCAGGGTTATATTCTCACGCACCGCGGCAGGAAAACAAACAGAGGTTAAACATACACAGCAGTGACTGAACTCTCTGAGGTGATCTCCTCTTTGGGGGCAAACTCCAAGGAAAAAGGGAAAAATCAGGCTCACTCCTGGTGAGCTGCAGGATGCGTTGGCTCCAGAGGACAAGGAGAGGGATGGCTTGTGAGGACAATGAGCACGAAGAAGCTCTTTGGTCATGTCGTGCTGGATGCCAAGACGTTTGAGCAGAGAAAATGGGTCATTTTCCAGAAAGGGTGGAGCTGTATACATGCTTGCTCTCAGTGGTAGTATTTTAGGTGGGGTGAGTGGAAGAAAGAGCAACCCACCATCCCCGTAATTACCAGGTGTGCTGAGAACAGCGGGGCAAATTCATCCCC